CCTCCCTTCCTTTCTCTCTCAAATAAACAAAGCTTTAAAAAACAATTACAGATTTAACTGACTGCCTTCTACCACCTCTCCCCCAAAACAAAGATCCTCTTTATGGATGAAGAGATAAAGGGAACTGAAAAAGCTGCTTCCAACTGCAGAAGGGCTTCTGGGGCCTGAGGTACCTGGTTTGGGCCTACCTTTTCAGGGACCGTGTCCATGACCAGGTCTCCATACATGTTCATCACCTGGGGAGAAAATGGGAGGCAACTTGCCATGGAGAGTGCAGCATAGGTATAGGGCTCCCCCAAACAGAGGGCCCCAGACACCCTGCTCCATAAATCCCCTTATGGGCCCATTTCTCCACTACTCCTCACCTGGTCATTGAGCCAGTTCTGTCCATACAAGGTCCCCAGGTCATCCATGGTCAGTACATGCCGCTTATAGGCCACTCGGAAACCCCTCACCATGGCATTGCCTGGCATCCGCTGGTACGACTGGATCAGCTGCAGCACCAGGCCCTTCCTGAGTAGGCCAAGGGTGGAGTCACACAAGAGACAAGGGGGCTAGAGCATACAGAAGTACTTTTCTACTGCCCAGAATAAGAACCTAAACTAAGTTCTTATTCTTAAGAATAAGGGGGCACCTGGGTGGCCCAGTCGGTTAAACATCCGATTCCTGATCTCAGCTCAGGTATTGATCTCAAGGTCTTGAGTTCAAGCCCTGTGTTGGGCTTCACACTGGGTGTGGAACCCACTTCAAACAAAAACTAATCCTTTCTTTGGGCCACATATCCTTTTGAGGACCTGCTAAAGGCCTAGTCTCCAGAGAGGCACAGGAGTATCAGGTATACATAATATTGCAGGATCTCAGGTAAAGACTCCACCCCAGTCAGTTTACAGGGGCGTTGCACTCTGCCTACAGGTTCCTCCCCCTCAGTTCTACCTTCCTCCGTCCGCCAAGTACATCCCTATGAGAGAAAAGGCAGCAGCAACCTCTCCCTACTCTCAGGGCCCAGCCCTCTTCTGACGACATTTCTTTCATGCCTCACCTGGAAGGTGTAGAGAACTCCTGCTGAAAAATGTCCTCCAATTTCTCTACCACCTCATCAGTGCTAAGAGGGATGAGGCTGCCATAAGTTTGAAGGAATTCATCCAAGATGCCTGAGCGGAAGGAAAGAGGAGAGGCGTGAGGCCTCCAGATTCCAACTTAGGAGTTGGCTACTAAGCAAGAGACTGGGTCCTCTAGGGTCCCTTACTCTGTACGCAGGTCACATGCTCCTCCCGCAGGGGGCTGTGCTGGCCAGCCTTTTCCCCAGGCCGCTCCGCCTCTTCTGCAGCACTCAGATCTGAGCCCTGAAAGAGTTCCTGGGCCACATGGTCCCCGATGCTACACACGTTGCTGATGAGGATGCTGGCATCAGGGGGTGCCAGACCTCGTTCCCCTTCTGGCCCGGGTGGTCCCCCAAAGCCATTGGGAAGAGTACAAGAGAGGAGGCCTGTAGGACGGGGAAACAGGATGGAGATGAGAAATTGGCTCAGATCAAAGAACAGTGGGATAAGATTAAGTGACGCACACAAATTATAAAACCACGAGGATGAACTGAAACGTATCTACCCATATAAACCCTAAGGATGAAATGAGCATGTCTGAGAAGTTATAAAGAAACAGAAAAGAAAAAGTACTACTCATAGCACAAAAGCAAGACAAGACTAAGGAGATAAACTTCAGAGATATCTATCACCATTATTAACTTGGCATCTAGTATAGGACCCTGCAAACGCTCAATTAATAAAAAAATACCCCGAAATTGTTTGGTTGAGAATCCCTAAAAGAAACATTCTGAGTGAGAATGGCACACAGAACAAGACAGGCGATGTAGTCCACTAGTCAGAGAAATCTCATCCCACCACAAGGAGAATGGCACCCTTTGCAGACACACATGCAAGGGTCCCCTTTATTCTCAAAGGGCAAATGAGGAATTTTAAGTGTCCAAAACTGTCTTGACTTTTGTAAACCACGTCTCCCTTTCTCATCTATACACAGGACACCTACTTAGAGACTCTGTATTCCAGCTTTGACCATCTCCCCAGACTTAGTTGCTGCTCAAAGAGGCGCTTAAGACATCTCACAGATATTCCGGACTCACTCTGCCATCCTACTAGCCTTCGGACCAGCTGTCACCACAGCCAGAAGCTCTTGATCCTCCAGGATCTGAACCCGCCCTACCCTCTCCCTCCACCCATTCCCACCTTACCAGAGTCAGGATCCAGAGGAGACTTTGGAGTCCACCTTAATCCATCTTCCTCCACTGGGGGCCCAGAGGACATTGGTGGAGACCCTCTCACCCCATCCTCAGCCATGAGAGCACCTAGCAGACCCAGCCGGGGTGGAGGTGGCCCCCGAGGGGAGTCAAAACGACAGCAGGGAGATGGCACCTGTGGTGTCGCACCCCCTTCCTGGGGTGAAAGATGGTTCTTGGGGTGTGCGAGGCTCCGCCGCCGACCCCGGTGGCGCCCCCAAAGCTTCCAGTGGAATGTCAGCGAGGTGCTTTTTGAGTAGAACAACATCGGGAAAGCTCTCTTGGCTCTGCGGCGGCGCTGTGAGCAGGTTTTTCGATGAGTATGGCGGGGAGGGCGAGATCGCTGGGAGGCCCCCAGCTGACCCCATCTTGGGGGCAGCCTCCAAGCTGCCACTTCCTCTTCCTCATCTTCGTCCTCATCTTCCTCCTCTTCTTCCTCCTCTTCACTAGCTGAGGCATCAAAAGAGGGCCGAGGGACAGGGAGGCGTCTGGCTGGCGCTGTGGTCCCAGACCCAGGATCTGGCCCAAACCCTCCACCTGATTTGAGTCGGGGCTTGGGGGGTGGGGGCCAACGAATACGCTCCCGTCTGGGACTTGAGTAAGCTGGGGCTATGCCAGGTCCAGGAGGCTCAGGCCCCCAAGACCCGGACCCTTGTATAGTCTCTTTCATCTTCCAGTAGCCTGTAAAATAATGGTCAGAGTGTCAGAACCCAAACATCCTATACCCCACATCTTGCTTCTCTCCCTCAGCATGCCTTCTCTGGAATCAGATGCAAATAATCTAAGGAGAGAGGGCAAAACGCAAAACTACTGACTGCTGACATTTCCGGTTAACACGATTCACATGGGGCCCTTTAGAGCCTGTGCCATCCTCTCTCCTCTGACCAGACAGAAGCAAGGGAGACTGGCTAAGCAGCAGGCCTCCGGGATCTTATTTCTCAGATCCCCAGGTTAAACCCAGTATTCTCAGGCTCTGCTTCTCTATTTTACTGCCAGGGGTATCCTAATTGAGAACCTAACGAGGGACGTGGCTCAGCACGAGAATGCTGACATGACACGGAGACAGCTGAAGAGAACACAACTTCCACCAAGGAAACCGCGGTCCAGAGTGGGAAGAGAGTTCTCTACCACCCTGGAATGAATGGGGGGCTGGGGTGGGCAGGGTACGGGCATGCTCAGGTGGTCTCGGGAGGTCTCGGGGGAAACGGGGATCTCAGGGCTACGGTTCAGGGAGTAAAATCCAATGAAAACGGAAGAATGTTAAAGGAAACTGAAAGAGAACCCAACCGGTGCTCAGGCAGCAGGATCAAGGCGCTGGGACAGAACTGAGCCGCGTGAGCCAGGCTGGCCCAGCCCCCTCTCCTGGTTCCCGGGGGCCAGAATGCGTCCCACACCGGTTTGGTCCTACAGGCTCAGGGCAGTTCGGCGCCCGAGGGCCTTAAGAAGCCCCTTCAAGGGCCTCCTGGGCCCCCGTTAGGTAGGAATGAGGTCCAGGATTGGGAGAGGCCGCATCAGGGCTGGGGGAAGGGTAGGGGGCGTCCTCACCGGGAGCGGGGAAGCCGGGCGGACGGACCCGAGGGCGGGCGTCTCCGGCCTCAGGCTTCCCGGCTCATCTCTCCGGCGACGGCGGCGGCCCCGCCACTCCTGCTGTCTTCAGGCGCAGCCCTCTCAATTCAGGATTCCAACGCTTCTGGGCCGCGCGCCGCGCCGCCGAGCCGCCCCGCCGCGGCCGCCTCTTGCTCTGCTTCAGCCTCCACCTCCACCACCTCCCCCTCCTCCTCCTGCTCCTCCTTCCCCTCCCGCGAGCCCCAGGCCCACCGGCGCTGGCGGCGCACGACTTGTACGTCACACCCGGCAAACAGCGCCGGCGCGGCCAGCACGCGCCTAGTCCCGCCTACCCGGGAGCGCAGACGCCGCGGGACGGTCCCGCCCCCCGAGCCCTGCGCCCGGCTGCGCCTGCGCACGCTAGCTGCTCGGGGCCGCGCGCGGCGGTCCCACCGCTATCCCGCCTGCGCGTGCGTGCTGTCCGCTGCTGCGTGTCCCGCCGGGGAGCGCTCCTAGGCGCTTGCGGGCCCCGACCCCGGGGCGGCGGGACCTGGGTCCCCCGGGGGCGCGGGCGGGGTGGGGGGAGGGCAGCGAGGGCACTGGAAGCCGTTTATTCTCTTTTATTGAAGTCTAAGCGGGTCTTGAGCGGAAAGAAGAGCCCAGAGGAGTGAAGGCAGGCCAACCCTAGGGCGCACGCTTGACCCACGCTCCCCGGCCGCCCAGCTCAGCCCACAGGGACCCCCACGCCGGCGGGGCGGAAAGCACGAAAGGCAAAACTTGGTACCACCCGAGGGAGGAGTGTGGCTGCACGGGGAGCGTCGTCGTCGGGCGCCTAACAAGCACCCCCTCCCCCGGAGATCGTGGTGGAAACCGGGGCGCCCCACAGCCGGGGAGGGGAGTGGGGGGTGAGGCTGCTTGTGCGGCGAGGAGGCAGCGGATACCTGGGGACAGGTGTGGCCTGGGGAGCCACGAGTCTTTCCGAGTGGAGGGAGGCTGCGTGGACGTCTGCCAGCAGGCAGGCGGACTCTCTCAGGCTGCCGCTAGGTGGTGGTGCTGTTCTGGAAGCCTTCCAGTGGGACCCAGAGTGGGTCTAGACATGGCCTGGCATTGCCCGCCGCCACCCCTACCTCCCCCAAGAATGTGGGGCTGGATGGGGGACAAAAGCAAGATGTTACACCTCTTTAATATCCGTGAAAGCGAAGTCTAGAAGGTGAGGGAGCGATGAGGCAAAGGGAGGAAGGGAGATGGATGAGCCGTCCAACCCAGGGTTGAGGTCAAACCCAGAAGAGGCCTCTGCTCCTGTTAGCTCGTGGCTGTGTCCAGTATTACCCACCCTCGTCTTCCGAGCTCAAAACCACCATCCGTATCATAATCACAGTTTCACAAACCCCAGGAAGGTTCCATGCGGAGAGAGGCTAAGTTTCGCCCTTCCCCGGGGGATTGTGACACTCAGAATATCGCCCTGGTGCAGGTGGAAGACACCTGAGAAACGGGAGAAGATACACACTAGGTGAAGCACAGTCCTGCGGTGGACCCTCTGGTGCCTCCCCTCCCTTCTCCAGCTCAGCCTTCCTCCTGCTTCCTGGCCAGCATCCCCCAGATCCGCCTCTGCACCCGGGCTTCCAGGCCCCGCTCCCCCTGGCCTGGTGGCCTGGTCATTAACCCCCCTGGGGTCAGAGCCACCCTCTGTGCCCACAGGCCTCTCACCCGCACTGTAGCAGCTATTGTAGGCCCAGTCGGGGTTGGAGGGCATGCTTCGGATACATCGGAAGAGAGTCTCCTGCCTTCCCTGGCCCTCCCGAGACACCACCTGACCCATGGTGAAAGTCACATCATGAAACAGGACCTGGCAGGGAATGGAGGAGAAGCTGAAGGAAGTGAGAAAAGAAAGTATGGCTCAGTACTGGGAGGCTTGGGAGCCTGGACAGGGGAGCCAAGGAATGAAGGAGGGTCTTCCAAGTGCTGTGAACAGAGAGTTTGGGAACCCTCAGGACCAGGGCATCCAAGTCCTGGGAGAACAGACTTCCTGGCCCCCAGGCGAGGTTTAGGGTATGTGTGGGATTACCTGGCTGTACAGCAGATAAATTCCAGAGTCCCAGACTCGAACAACATATCCTTGGGCCTCCAGACCTCTCCCACGCTTAAGAGCCGGTTGCCACATCACCTCTGTCACATCAGAGTCCTCTGGAGGTGAGGAGTGTGGCAGTCAGGAGTTGTGCACGTTCTCAGAGACTTTTCACCTCCAGGATTCTCTCAAGCTCAGGTGCCAGCTCCAAAGTTCCCCAACCTGGCCCCTCCCCCAAAGCCATTATTTAAAACAGTGCTCACCCTTGGAGGTGATATTGATGGGGACAAGGTGCAGAACCGAGTGCTTCTCTGAGGAGAGAAGGAGGGGATCTAAGCAGCCCCGTCCCCCTGTGATCAACCCTCCACCCTCACCCTGGCTCAGGGCAACAATCTCGAGGTCCCCATGCTGCTTGATCACCTCCCACCCCTGCTGCACCCCGGAGGCCTCACTCTTCTGTTTATGGATGAGTGCAGCTCTCTTTCTCCGGGATCTCTCCCCATTCTCCCAGGCTTCCAGGGCATCAGGGCTCTGCTCATGGGAAGGGGGTCAGGGTTAGGCTAAGAAGCAAGGGCCCCCGACAGCTCTTCCTCCCGGCCGCCCCTCCACGCCCACCCCTGCCCTGGCCCCAGGAGCGCCTCACATCACTCCTGCACTTTTCCCCAGCGACCTGAGTCTTGGCGCTGGCTGTCCTCCAGGATCTGGTAGACATGAGAAGCATTAATCTTTAACAATTTCCTTTCCTGGAATGGCTGCTCCCTTGACCTCCAAACCTGGGACCCTCTCTTGCACCTACTCAAAACTTTACAGACCGGGAGGCTAGACCCAAGAGGCCCCGACCCGGCCCTGCCACCCATCCTCAGCTCCCCTCACTCACCTGCTCCTGGAGGCTCAGCCATGGATACCCTTCCTCCTTCTCAGAGGGCCCTCCAGTCCTCTGCAGCCGAGCCACCTCTCTCCTTAGATTTTGCAGCTCTGTTTGTTGGGTCAGCAGGGCCATGGCACAAGCCACGGCCCCCAGAGCTGCCCCCCAACTCAACCAGAGGGCGACTGAGAGTGCCGGCTCTCGGACTGGGCCCCCCATGTCTCCTGGGGGCCCTTTGGGGGCTAGCAAGGAAGGAGATGAGGCTGGCATGAGCTGGGGACCCTGCCGAAGGCTGTGGCCTCAGGAGTGGGGTGGCGAGGAGGTGGTGGGAAGGGTGGGGGTACAGAAGGGAAGAGGAGCGTTACGCAAGGGAGGAATAAAAAGGAACTTGAGAATGAAAAAAGGGAGGAGGAGAGCCAGCAAGGGGCACTGTTGGTGCTCCTGGCACCCCGCCGTGGGGCCAGTGTTGTGTTGAGACGCCCCCTCCTCCAGCGTCAGGAGAACTCGGTGTCAGTCTCTCTAGGAAGGACAGGACTGCCAGTGACACCCAGGAGGAGCGGCCGGAGCATAGGAATCCTGGGACTGCCCCAGAAGTGGGGGAGGGAAGGTTGGCTGGCTACGGGGCATGGTGCCAAGAGCAGGGATGGAGGGACAAGCTGGGCAGCCTTGGGGGTCACGGGTGAGGGCGGGAGACCCTCTGGCTCAGACACCCCAGAGATCCTCGGACAAGTCGGCCAGGAATGACTGAAGGTGGAAAAGGAGAGGAGGGGGGCAGATGGGAAGGAGAACCAGGGTCGCGGAAGCAAGAGACGGGCTGAGTTCTGGGGTTAAGGCCAGGCCGGGTGTGTTGGAATAAGGCCTGTACTACTCCCTGTGCTGAACTTGGCAAGCAGGACTTCCTGTTTCCCGAGAAAAGCTCTTACATAAGGCTCTGGTCAGAGAGAGAAAGAGAAAGCCCCAAGCACCCTACCACTGTAGGATTCCTGCCCTGGCCCCTGGGGCGCAGGTTCCCACATTCCTGGGCCCCAGCGTCCTGCCGACTGACCCTGGGCTCCCCTTGGGGCCTGCTCCCACCCCACAGGCCGCCAGGCTTATGCCAGCACCTGCTGAATGTCCCGAGGCTGCCAAGAGGAAGGGCTTCTGCTCCTCCCAGCCCGGGATTACCTGCAGGAGGAAGCCGGCCTCCTAGGTAAATGAGGTAGCTGCTGCTGGACCTTGGGCAGATTGATTTTTTTTCCTGGCAGCTTGCCTTTCCAGTCTCTGCTCATGCCTCAGGGGTCAGAGGCATGTGGGTCTCCACTCCTGGGCCTGTACCTTGCCCTGGCATCCTGCACTCCACTCCTAGGTACCCAGGCCCCCTTCCCATGGAGCCCCCAGCTCCCCTGAGCGATGTTCCCCACCCCCCAGTAAAGAAAGAGACTGTGGTTTATTCTCTTTAATATCCACTTATTGACATCTTGTCACAATAATAATAAAAATAATATCTGTTTTAAAAATCCACAGGGAAGGAGCTCATCCTGTTCTCAGCCCTCGCGTATGGGAACTCCCGGCCTCCGTGTCCCAGTCACCCTGGCATCTAGCCCTGATTAGTGCCTGAAGTGGGGGGAGGTTAGGGACCCATTCTCACCCAGAATAGACACAGTGTCCTTTGGCTGGTGTGTGTGGGGGGGGGTTGGCCAAGAGTGAGGAAGTCAGGAGATAAATGGGGGCTTCAAAAGACCAGGGGTTCAGGGGCCAGTGAGGTGGAGAATGGGGGTGTCAGAAGGGAAGAGGATTATGTATGTGGCACGGAAACAGGTGAACAAGTCCAAGCAGCCTGCAGAGGGCAGGCAGGTCAGGGCAGGGGGTGGGGGGAGCTGCAGTGGGGGCGCCCCCAGGGCGCCTCAGTTAACCTGGAAGAGTCCGAAGTAGGTAAGGAAGGGGGCGGCCTTGAGATGGGCCCAGGGGAGAGTGCGGATCCTCAGGGAGGACCCGGGCCGGAGGGGCAACAGCCCAGACACTTGGCAGAGGCGGAGCTGGGGGCCCAGGCTGCTGGCGGCTGTGGCGGAGAACTCTTCCAGGCAGCGCAGGGCCAGGGCGTCATCCACCAGCAAGTCCAGCTTCAGGTAGACAGCCTTCCCCTCATCAAAGTGCACCTGGGGGCCGGCAGGAGGCCGCAGAGTCCAGGGTCCTCGGTGACCCCAGGATCCCATCGGGCCCCGACCCTAGGCTCCCCACCCCAACCTGCCCCCTGAACCAAACCCTCCCTGTCTCCCTCAACCTGGGGCCCCCGCTTCCTGCCCTACCGTGGAGCCAGGTGGGGCTTACCTGGCAGTACAGGTAGTAGAGCCCAGCCCGCGTGACTATAAATTCCCCACTCTGGCGGTCATAGCGCAGTGGGTTGGAGCTGTTGATTTTGGCCTCTTCCCAGCCACTCACCGTCCCGTCCACACCTGAATGCAGGGGTTCAGAGATTGGGGACAGTCCCTTTGCAGGGCCTTCTCATGATCCCCAGGGGCCTCTGCAAATTCATAAGCCTGGGGGGGTTCCCTCTTACCCCAGGAGATGAAGAGACGACCCTGCGGCCCAGGGAGGAGCCACAACCCCTGCAGCATCAGAGTAAGTGATGGGAAGAAATGCCACACTTGTGTGACCAGAGCAGTAAGGAGCAAGTTGTCCCCAGCCACCTCTGGGGGGGTAAGAGCCAGGTGGAAGGAGAAGCGCGGGGGCTTCGATATTTTGTGTCTCTACTGTGTGCCTCTCTCACTCTGAGAATGCCCACATACTGTACCTGAGTCATACTGTACCTAATTAAAACTAGGGCAGCTGGGTGGCTCAGTGGTTTAGCGCCACCTTCAGCTCAGGACCCGATCCTGGAGACCTGGGATCCTGTCCCGCATCAGGCTCCCCACAGGGAGCCTGCTTCTCCCTCTGCCTCTCTCTCTCTGTCTCTCATGAATAAATAAATAAAATCTATAAATAAATAAATAAATAAATAAATAAATAAATAAATAAATAAATAAAACTAATCACAAGGGGGATGCCTGGGTGGCTCAGTGGGATAGGCATCTTGACTTCAGCTCAGGTAATGATCTCAGGGTCCTGGGATCAAGCCCCACATTGGGCTCCCTGGTCGGTGGGGAGCCTGCTTCTCCCTCTACCTCTGCCTGATGCCCCCCACCCACTCATGCTCTGTCAATTAAATAAAATCATTGAAAAAAATTAAAAATGAAAGTAATCTAATGGTACCCAAATGTCCATCAAACAATGGCTGGATAAGGAAAAGTCTGGTGTAGCCAAGCAATGGGGTATTATTCAGCCACCGAAAAGAACTGCTACCATGTGGATGAACCGAAAACATTATGCTAAGTGAAAGAAGCCAGTCCCAAAGGACCACATATTATGAGGTTTCTACGAAATTTCCGGGTAAATACATAGAGACAGTAAGTAGATTGGTGGGTGCTTAGAGCTCTGAGTGGCGGTGGGTGGGAGACATAGGGGTGCTGGCTACAGGGTATAGGGTTTCTTTCCATGGTGATGCCTGCATAACTGTGTGAACAGACTAAGAGTAAATAACCCACCGAATTGGCACACTTGAAGCAGGTGAATTGTATGGTATGTGAAGCATAGCTCAATAAAACTGTACCTCAAAACAAATTAAAAAAGGCTAGAGCTAAGGTCATTGCCAAGATGAATAATAAAATGACAGAGCAGGGGAGCCTGGGGGGGCTCAGTCAGTGAAGCATCTGCCTTTGGCTCAGGCATGATCCCAGGGTCCTGAATCGAGTCCTGCGTTGGGCTCCCTGCTCAGCGGGGAGCCTGCTTCTCCTTCCACCTCTGCCTGCTGCTCTCCCTGCTTGTGTTCTTTCTCTGTGTCAAATAAATAAAATCTTTATATATATATATATATATATATATATATATATATATATATATAAACCCACAGCAGGATGTCAGGTGGCTTCCTGGGTCCTCCCCAGGGCCACCCTGGTCTCTCTCTCCTACCACGACACAGGCCAACTCCCAGGGCTCCTGACATCCTCTTGTTCCCTCTGTGCAAGGACTCAGCTGACAGGCCTGCCCTGCCCCCCCCGCCCCAGTTCCAAACAGCCAACCCCAGCCCTGCCTCTCGTCTCTTCCCCAGGCCACCCTGGTTCCTGCATAGCCATCATCATCCAGTTTATTTACGTATGTGTGAGTGAGAGGTCTGGCAATGGTCTTACTACCGAGTCGTGGCACTGAGAGCTGGGCCTGCAATGAGTGGGCACCAGCAAACACTGCTGGGAGGACAGAAGGAGGCGGCCAACAGGGCCCACACTTGGGCAGGGTCTGGATCCAGCTTGGTCTAGATCCACCGGACACTTTCCTGGGCTTCACTGGGCAGCTGCCTTCCCCAACCCTCCCTCCTCCGCACCAATCTGATGCCCCAGTTCCCAGTTCCTGCCAGTGCTGCCACCTAAATCACTCTGTCCCATCTCTCCGCACCCAAGCCAGGCCCCTGCCACCACCACTGGGATTCTTCTCAGCCTCCTTCCTCATGCAACTCCCTGGGTTGGCCACCTTGCAGGCTCCAGCTTCTTCCCTGCAGGACCAGAGAGTGAGGTCTCTAAATCACAGATGTGAGCCTGCCTCTACTTGCTCTGACCCCAGAACGACTCCCAGACCCCATCTGTGGCTCCACTAGCACTTCCCTTCCACCAGGCTGAGCCTCATCATACTCTTGCAGAACTTGGGACATTGGCACCAGTGCTTCCTTCTCCCTGGAAAGGCCCTGAACCCCTTCCCTTGTCCATCAGACGTTCACACATCAGGGCCCATGCCTTCTTGGGGAAGCACTTCCTGACTCCACTGTCTTCCTTCTATGCTCCCATTTCCCTCTGGCTGCTTTTGTGATGGTTCTTGTCAAGGCAAACCACAGTTCACAAATGAATATGCTCGTATCCTCTTCTAGATGGGAATTTGAGAATAGGCCTGGGGGTGCTTCCCCAAGAGCACCGGCCCTTCCAAAGAGCAGGTTCTCAGTGCTTGTGTGTCTAGTTGGTGGAGGAATGATGTCTGGGTAGCTACTGAACTAAATGGCCCCTGGAGGGGTGGGAGAGGACACTGGCCTGGGGCATGAAGGGCAGCGGAGAGGAGGAGCGAGGGCATCCCCCACTCGATCCAGCTCGAGGAAAGGCTGGTTGTGGCCAAAGGGCGCAGTGTGGCTGGGACCTCGGTGTCCCTCAGTGTCACCGCCACAAACCTGAAATGGCCATTCTTTATGCCTGGCAACTGCTCTTCCTCATGGAGCTCGAGCATTGACGCAAGACTTTGTACCATTTCTCCTCTCTCCTTGAACCTCCTGCCCATTTTCCTCACTCTCCAGAGGACCTAGAACTCACCAGGCCAGGGTTCCCTCTCCTCCCCCAACCAGAGCTAAAAACTGACCTGTGCTCACATTCTCCACTAACCCTCTTGTGATGGTGGCATGATGTGTCCCTCCCTTCGTCCTGAAACCTCCCTGCCCCTCTCCCTGGGTGCTGCCCAGGTTCCCCTCCCCCCTGCATGAGGTGTGTCCACACTCTAGGTAGCTTCAAATCCTGGTTCCATGGGGCACCTGGGGGGCTCAGAGGTTGAGCATCTACCTTCTGTTCAGGGTGTAACCCCGGGGTCCTGGGGTCGAGTCCCATATCAGGCTCCCCGCAGAGAGCCTGCTTCTCCCTCTGCCTCTGTCTCTGCCTCTCTCCATGTCTCTCATGAATAAACAAATAAAATCTTTAAAAAATCTTAAAAAAAATCCTGGCTCCCCACTGAGTACCATCACCTCCTCAGATGGGTTCAGTAACCTGCATCTGTAAAATGGGGCTGATCAAAAGATCTTCGTTTTAGGACTGTTGGGAGTTCTACATGAACGGAACATTCAGTAAGCGTTAGCTAGTAGGAGTCCTGTAGCACCGCTTAGCACCAGGACTAAATTTGTCCTCCATCCATATCTCCCTCCAGCTACTGGCCTGTTGCTTGGCTCATCACGGAGAAACTTCTGGAAAGGGCTGGCACTGTCTCTGATGGCTATTTCCCATTTTCTCTCTTTTTTTTTTTTTTTTTTTACGATAGTCATACAGAGAGAGAGAGAGAGAGAGAGAGGCAGAGACACAGGCAGAGGGAGAAGCAAGCTCCATGCCCCAGGAGCCTGACGTGGGATTCGATCCCGGGTCTCCAGGATCGCGCCCTGGGCCAAAGGCATGCGCCAAACCGCTGCGCCACCCAGGGATCCCTATTTCCCATTTTCTCTTAACCCAGTCCATGCTGGCTTCTATCCTAACTGCACCACTGAAACTGCCCTGGCTGAGGTCACCAGTTGACTTTTAAGGTTACCAAACCCCCCCAGCCCCCCCAACCCCCCAACCCCCAACCCCTCCCTGCTGGTGGTCAAATCATGTGACCTCTCTGTTGCATTCAGCACAGATGGCCACACCCTCCTTGGTGAGAAGGCATCTTTTCTCAGATCACAGTACACTCTCCTTCCCGGTTTCTTCCCTTCTGTCTGGCTGCATCTCTGCTGGATTCTCCTCTTCCACTCCACTTCGGGATGTCTGGGGGCCCCATGGCTTCACTCTTGGGGTCCTTCTTCCCCCGGGTGTCTCATCCAACCCTATGGCTTTAAGCACCATCTGCATGACCACGGCTTCTGACCAGATGCACGCTGACCCAGCCTCAGCTGACTACGTCTAGCCATCTCTCCGTGAAACTCACTCATTCAGGGATCCCTGGGTGGCGCAGCGGTTTGGCGCCTGCCTTTGGCCCAGGGCGCGATCCTGGAGATCCGGGATCGAATCCCACATCAGGCTCCCGGTGCATGGAGCCTGCTTCTTTCTCTCTCTCTCTCTCTCTCTCTCTCTATATATATATATATATATATATATATATATATATATATCATAAATAAATAAAAAAATAAAATAAAAAAGAAACTCACTCATTCATTATCACTTCTCCACTTGTTCAGTGAGAGAGTTAAAATTTCATGACTCATTTACATACCTCCCAACCTATTTATTCCCCGGTTAACCCCATCTTGATAAACGGGATCCTTATTCCCAAGGATGCCCATGTTAAAAATCTAGAAGTCTTCTCTTCCCTTACCCTGCACATGCAACTCAAGAGCAACCTGTATCCTCCAGCCACACACCCTATCCATCTACTTTGCTCCATCTCAACTGCCAAACCCTCTAGACCAAGCCACCGTCATGTCTTGCCTCCTGGCCTGTCCCATGGAAGGACATTCCAGGTGAGGGAACAGAGTGTGCAAAATCCAGAAGAAGGACATTGGTGGGGCGGGGTGTCAGGCCAAGTGTGGAGATTGCATAAAAGTGTGCGACCAGATCTCGGGGAGGCTGCAGCCAGGGAGGGAAGCAATGGAATAATGACAGTGAGTTTGGAGGGCCTCAGCTTGGCAACACAGGTGGGATGGAGTAAAGGGGTGGGGAGAAGCTGGGATGGGGAAGGGGTAGAGACTGGATGTGAGGTTCTGATGTCAGTGGTGCTGAGATGGGAGGTGGGGTGGGGTGGAAAAGGAGCACAGTAGAAACATTTTGAGAAAAAACTATCAGAGCGTGAAGACTCAGAATACACGGGGGTGGGCGGAGAAGAGGGAAGAATCAAATGTGTTTCTTGCACAAAAGCGAGGGCTGGTGGCTGGGTGGGGGGAGCCTGCCTGGCTTCTCACACCTGGATCACAGGCAAACACCAGGTTTGGGAGCTGAGAAAACAGAGCCCCCAGGATGTCCTTGACCTGGCTTCTGGTGTTCCCAGGCTGAAGACAGGTGGAGGTGGGGGGGTGGGGGGTGGGCAGTGGGAAGTGAGAGGTTTTGAGAAGCCCCTTTTCCAGGGGCCAGTGCTGTGGGGGTCAGGGGGAGAGCTCAGAGGTGGGAATGGGGTCTCACCAGCCTGTCCTCCGTCCTGTCCCGGTTGTGGATGAACTGTAAGGCATAGGAAAGGGTTGGTGAGACCTGCCCTGCCCCTCTGCCCCCTGTCCTCCCTGGGCATAGCTCACCCATCGCTCACCTTCATAGTGCGCTGCAATGGCCCTGCGAGCCCGCGTTTTCCGACCTTTGGATGCTGAGATTCAAAGAAAGAGACAGGGGCCAAATAGTGCTCCCTACATCTGAGGGGCCACCCCCCAGCACCCCCGTACCCTCAGAACCCCAGCATTCTGACTCTTGTCCAGACTCCAGGCCTCAGAGCCTCACGCCATACCTCCCTCCATAAGCAGAAGGACTACATCATTTATCACCCAAACTGGGTTGTTTCTGAGAGCAAAAGGGTGCTATTAATAATCACACAGAAATAACAGTTGTAAGCCGGAACAGTCGCCTGCAAATCTGGACATACAGTCACATGGTCATCCCATTCACAAGTTTCTTTGCTTACTGGGACCCCGGTCTCTGTTTCGCCTACCTTCTCCCCATCAGTTTTTTTTTTTTTTAAGATTTTATTTATTTATTCATGAGAGACATGCAAGGAGAGGCAAAGACACAGGCAGAAAGAGAACCAGGCTCCCTGTGGATTCCTCAGTTTCTCTAACCCCACTTTGAATGAGGATAATGGTTTTGGCGCTGCCCACTCCGTGGGGATGAACAAAAGCAATAATGGGTGCAGAACCCATCACTGATCGGCCACTATTATTATTCCTGAAGGTAGGATGAAGGGATGCTCACCATTCCTGCGAGTCCGGACCAGCCGCTTCAGGAAGGGCCCAGGATCCTGGCTCTTCTCTGTCTGGGAATTCAGTTCCTAGGGGAATCAGGGGCAGGGCTAAACCAGGGTCTTGCGGGGACTACCACAGCCCTAAACTGAGACCGACAGGGGGCCCGGTCGGGAGAGGCACCAGCCAGCAGCGAGCACAGATGTCTTAGGGAGCCAAGGGGAGGCAAGGTCCTGGGGTCAGGCCCCAGCCCTCACCCTGCTCCCCAGACCTGCCGCACCTTGCCGGCCTCCCCACAGCCCCCCAGCCCCCCAGCACACAGAACAAGCACAGACCCTTCGGCGCAATCGGCACACTGCACACGCGCCCACACCCAGTCGGCGTGCACACTGGGTACACACCCTGCACACATCACCAGCATCCCTCCTCCGCGGCAGGCTCCCCCCATTTCATGCCCCCACAGCACCCACAGCCAATAAACACTCCGGACTCAGGTGACACCAGCCCCTTCCACACGGCCGTCACCATCCCTCCCTCCCTCCCTCCCTCCCTCTCGCATACCCAGGCACGGCGGTGCACACCCCCGCACACACGCGGCTGGCACCGTCGGGGGCGCCCCGCAGCCTCGGCTCGCACCCGCTCCCCGCGCCCGGCGGCCCCCACGGCCACTCACCGGCGGGTCCGGGTCCTCGTCCGCCACCAGCTCCCCCTGGGAAGGCTCCTGCCGGGAAGGAGGCAGCGTCACCCCGTCCTTCTCCACCTGACATCTCACCCGCCACCCCACTTCCTGGCCCCGAGTCCTCGGCCCACCCGACCCGGGCCGCCGCTCCGCCGCCCGGGCTCGCGGCCGGCCCCCGGGAGGGTGCACCGCGGGGCCTCACCTGGGCGGGCGCCGATGCCCGGCTCCCCAGGCTGACCGCGGCCAGCAGGAGGCCGAGGCAGGCCAGCGCCAGGCCCAGGCCCAGCGCGAGCGGGGCCAGCAGGGCGGTGCCCGGCTCCCCCCGGCGCCCCCTCCGCCTCTGGCTCCGACGGGCGGCCATGGGGGCGGGGGGCTGTGCCTGCCTCGCCGCCCCCCCCACCGCCCGGGACCCGCGGGGGGCGGGGGGAGCCGGCGGGCGGGGCGGGCGGCCGGGAGGGAGGGGCGACGGGCGCCCGGGCGGGGAGCGCGCAGGAAGCCGGACGCGGCGGGGCGGCGGGGCGGCCGAGTGCGCGCCCCGCGCCGACCCCCGGAGGAGGCCCTCGGGGCCGGGGTGCGCGGAGGGGGGGACCCGGTCGCGGTTGTGGTGCGTGGAGGGGGGCGGCCGGGCAGCGGGGACCCCACCCAGGCTTGGGTGCCGGGGGGGCGGAGAGGCGGCTGGACCCCCGGCGCCCCCGATCGGGCCGGTGGCGCCCTGGGCCCAACCGGCGACGTGGGGCTCGGGACCGAGGTGCTCTGGCCGCCGGCTTAGGGCCGAAGCCGGTTCGGAGTTTCTGGGCTGCACCAAAGACAATACTTCCGTGCCCAGGACTGGGAAGGAGCCTGAGGACATCACTCACTCGGGTCATGTGCTCACTTCGGTCGGCGGATCAGTTGGGAGTTGATCAAAACTCCGGCTCCCGCGCTGGAGGGGCCGGCTTCCGGGCCGCCCCCGCCCCCGCGCGGTTAGCGGGTGCCGCAGACGCCTCTCTCTCTGGAAGCACGTGGGCCGCTTCAGCTTGTCGCCGGGCTTCAGTGAGTTCGAGGGGAGCAACGAGAGCCCGGTGCACGAGTTGTGTAAAAGCCGGACCCCTTTTGCCTTGAAAACACTTTTGCAAACAGGAAATCCCTCGAGGATGCATTTAACCTGCAACGTGCCTTTCTGTGCATCTGCAGTGAAAAGTGCTAGAAAGCAATTCTGTTGCGAGAGTAACAATTAGTTCTCAGGCGAAGCCGTGGTTCTGACCAAGGAAGTTCATAGAGAGGCTCAGCTCCCTCCTCTCTCCAACGCCACCTTCGGGTCTCGTGTTCCGGATTCTGTTCTGGATTCATTACGTTGTGGAATCTGCTGAACCGCCTCCGGCCGCAGGGTTTCTGACACCTTTATTCCACTTACTTGGCACACTCCGTCCACTCTGTCCCGGGGTTAGTCATTTCTGACAGTTTTCCAGACCCGTCTTTTCTCAAGAGGATCCGAACTGCCTACTAATGTCTCTTCTGGTACCTTCTCTTTCTCAGTTGTCGCAGTTTGTAATGAGAGATCTGGCTCCTCTCCCCATCTACGTTGTAAAGTATGAAATCATATATTTCCTGATTTCTGCTTATTGTCTGTTTCTAGGCAATAGACAAATTGCACCAGAGTTTTTATTCACTTATGTTCCTGGCACCTCCTGAAATACTGGTTCCCAGCAAATATCATTAGAGCACCCTGTTGATAAGACAAAGCAGAGTATATTGCTGGTCTCTCAAAGGCCTGACAATGCCTCATAGGGAGATAGGCAAACCTACGATATTTATGGAGACTTTGAAGTCTGGTTTATTTTTTTTTTTAAGATTTTATTTATTTGAGAGAAAGCACAAGCAGGGCGAGCAGCAGGCAGAAGGAGAAGCAAGCTCCCCCCAAAGCAGGGAGCAGGATGCAGGACTCCATCCCAGGATCCTGGGACCATGCCTGAGCCAAAGGCAGATGCTTCACCAACTGAGCCACGGAGACACCCCTGAAGTCTGGTTTAAAGAAGGTCTTTGCAAGCTGGGGTAAGAGCAGGGGTTGATTAGGGTTACAGTGGAATCCTGAAGAATTTGCATATCCAAGTGAGAGGCTCAAACAGTCTTAAGATATAAACTGTTAGTTGGTAGATATTTCTATGGAAAATCAGCTGATTTTTTTTAAAGTAATCTCTATGCCCAATACGAAACCCAAATTCATGACCTCCAGATCAAGAGTTGCATGCTCTGCCCACTGAGCCATCCAGGCACCTCTGATTTGGTTGTGGGGTTTGTCTTTGTGTGTTTTGTTTTTTGTCTTTAATAAGCTCTAGGCCCAACATGGGGCTTGAACTCACAACCCTGAGATCAACAGTTGCCTGCTCTACAGACCGAGCTAGAGCTAGCCAGGTGCCCCAAAGTCAGCTGATGTTTTCCATTTAAGAGTTGATGAGTCTTTCAGGAAGTTTCTGGAATAAGCAATAAAGTTAATTTGCAACATTCATCTTCCTGGGTGAAAGTCTCCTGGAATACTAGTTAAGGCCAGTGAAGACAAGGGTAGTCATGTTAACAGAGATGTAAGTGCCCCCGGGCTGGTGGTTTCAGTTGTCCCCCTGCAGCGACATAATCATAATGGATGCTTAATAAACATCTGTTGGTTGATTGAGCTAAAAGCTCCTGGGGGACAAGGACCACATGTCTTCTCTTTTGTTTATCCTCCGTGCCTCCTGCAATGTCTGGCACATGGGGTACACTCAGTAAATACTTCTTTTTTTTTTTTAAGATTTTATTTATTTATTCATGAGAGAGAGAGAGAGAGAGAAGCAGGCTCCCTGCAGGGAGCCCGACATGGAACTCTATCCGGGATCTCCAGGATCATGCCCTGGGCCAAAGGCAGACACCCAACCGCTGAGCCACCCAGGCGTCCCAATATTTCTTGAATGACTGAATAGGCAAATACTTCATTTGGATTTCTAGTGGGTGACATTTGTAAAAGAGAGAAGGAAGAAGCACAAGACACTTTGGTGGAAAGCCCAGAGGGAATTCTGAACACTTTTGGGATCGATATAACTTAATGGTACTGCTCAGCTGTGAGCATCTGCCTTCCGCTCAGGGTGTGATCCCGGCATCCTGGGATCCAGTCCCACATGGAGCTCCCTGCAGGGGCCCTGCTTCTCTCTGCCTCTCTCTCTCTCTCTCTCTCTCTCTCTCTCTCTCTCTCTCTGTATCTCTCATGAATAAATGAATAAAATCTTAAAACAACAACAACAAAGAGCTCCAACCAATTGCCTGAGGGAAGTTAAACCTTCTTGTATGGATGCTGGCAATCCAGAGTAAATGTTTTTTATTATTTTAGTTTTTGGGGTGATCCATAATCTGACAGCTGACCATCAGCCCTCTCCACCCCAGTCGAAGCTCTTCAGTGGATGTTCCTCATCGTATCCTAATCCATGAAGAATTTCTAGGCAGAATTTCCAACCAGAGAAAAACAGTGTAATTTACATAGAAATCTAGAGGAAAAATAGTATAATTTACATACCAGAAGGGGAAACTCAGGATATCATGGTATTTTTTTAAAAGATTTTATTTATTTATTTGAGAGACAGAGCATGAGTGTGGAGTGGGGAGAGGGAGAAGCAGGCTCCCCACTGATCAGGGAGCCTGGCAGGGGGCTCGACCCCAGGACCCCGGGATTATGACCTGAGCTGAAGGCAGATACTTACCTGACTGAGCCCCCCCAGGTGCCCCAGGATATGTTGGTATTCTTTATGAAATATTACCAATGATCACCACATATATGAGAATCAAGACCATGCAAAGAAAGAAAATAAAAAAAATGGGCACTAGAGAAAACAGAGACACATGCATAACTCCTTTATTGTGTTTCACTTTCTTGCACTTCATAGACATTGTGTTTTTTACAAACTCCAGGTTTGGGGCAACCCTGAATGGAGCAAGTGTTGGCACCATTCTTCCAACATCATTGGCTCACTTTGTGTCTCTGTGTCACATTTTGCAATTCTTTTTTTTTTAATTTAAAAAAAAATTTTTATTTATTTATGATAGTCACAGAGAGAGAGAGAGAGAGAGGCAGAGACACAGGCAGAGGGAGAAGCAGGCTCCATGCACCGGGAGCCCGACGTGGGATTCGATCCCGGGTCTCCAGGATCACACCCTGGGCCAAAGGCAGGCGCCAAACCGCTGCGCCACCGAGGGATCCCTCTTTTTTTTTTTTTTAGGATTTATTTATTTATTCATGAGAGATACAGAGAGAGAGAGGCAGAGACAAGCAGAGGGAGAAGCAGGCTCTTCGCAGGAGCCCCACGTGGGACTCGATCCCAAATCCCAGGATCACGACCTGAGCCGAAGGCAGATGCTCAACCGCTGAGCCACCTAGGTGTCCAACATTTTGGCAATTCTTGAACTTTTTCACTATATTTATTATGATCAGTGACTTGCTGAAAGCTCAGATGATGGTTAGCTTTTCTATTTATTTATTTATTTATTGAGATTTTATTCTTTTTTTTTTTAATTTTTATTTATTTATGATAGTCACAGAGAGAGAGAGAGAGAGAGAGAGAGAGGCAGAGACACAGGCAGAGGGAGAAGCAGGCTCCATGCACCGGGAGCCCGATGTGGGATTCGATCCCGGGTCTCCAGGATCGCGCCCTGGGCCAAAGGCAGGCGCCAAACCGCTGCGCCACCCAGGGATCCCTGAGATTTTATTCTTAAGTAATCTCCATACCCAATGTGAGGCTCAAACTCAGAACCTGAAGACCAAGAGTCGCAAACTCCAGCAACTGAGCCAGCGGGATGCCCCAGCATTTTTTAAGCAATCTAAGCTGTTAGTTACTAGCTGTTGCACATCTAATAGACCATAATATAAACATAACTTTTATACGCACTGAGAAACCAAAAAATGTGTTTGACTTGCTTTATTGCGATATTGTTTTATTGCCATAGTCTGGAACTGAACCCACGAAAACTCTGAGGTATGCTTCCAATGCATAACTGAAATAAATAAATAAATAAATAAATAAATAAATAAATAAATAAATAAATAAATAAATAAAATCTTTTCAAAATTAATTTAAAAAAAAAGACAAAATAAATAAATAAATAAATAAATAAATAAATAAATAAATAAATATTTAAAAAAAAGACAAAACATCCATTACACAAGAAGAGGATGCTATGTGAAAAAGGAACAATCAGAAAACAAGAAATGTTTCCCAGTGGCTAAAAATGTGGTTGCCTCAACCACCTCCAAACTGACTTCAAACTTTCTAATTGCGGTCTCCTTTTCAACTCATTTCTTACCTCAGGTAAAAGACCCTACCGCCAAAGCGTTCCCTGAAGGGAACCGAAATTACCCCTCAAGCATTAAGGACTGCTGTGAGCCAGCAAGACCCCACCCATGAACGGCCCCAAGATAGTGATCGACTTG